GGGAAAAAAGGAGACATATGTAATACTCTTTGTAATACTTCAAGAAATAAAAATTATAAAAAAAAGAATATATGCTTCAAATTATTGAGAGCACAGTGTGAGAATCAGATTGTGGATGTCATATGACATTTATTCCTTCTCTTTGCAGTTTATATAAACACCTGCCATCATCATTATAATAATACTAGTGGCCCAATGCATGAAATTTGTGCTTTGAGGGGCATGGGGGGAAGGGGTTCCCTCAGACCAGCCTGCACCCTCTCTAACTGGGACACCTTGGGGGATGTCTTACCACCAGTTTAGGCCTGATCCCTTTCGGCCAGACATCCCTCTCACAATCTGGGACCACTGACTTTTAACTGCTCACCTGCCTGCCTGCCTGATTGCCCTTAACTGCCCTCCCTTGCCAGCCTGATCTCGCCCCCAACTGACCTCCCCTGACAGCCTCATCTCGCCCCTAATGGCCTCTGCCTGCAGGCCTGATTGCTCCCAACTGCCTCTGCTTGCCTGATCACCCATAACTACCCTCCCCTGCCAGCCTGATCTCACTCCCAACTGACCTCCCCTGCCAACCTGATCTTGTCCCCAACAGCCCTCTCCTGCCGGCCTGATCTGGCCCCTAACTTCCCTTCATGCTGGCCTAATTGTTGCCCCTAACCTGCCGGCCTGATCTTGTCCCCAACTGCCCTCCCCTGCTGGCCTGATCGCCCCTAACTGACTCTTCCTCGGCCCCCACCACCATGGCTTTGTCTGGAAGGAAGTCGGATGTCTGGAAGGTGGCCAGTCAACCCAGTTTAATTAGCATATTACCATTTTACTAGTATAGATAGATTATATAGGATAGGAATGCTTAAATGGGGGAGGGGAAGCCTTTTTCAGTAGGAGGAGATGTTCTTGGCAGACAAAACTACATGATCCCTATATCTGGACTGATAGCCAGCCATATGCACTATATTGCCAAAGCGGCCATTAAAAAATTGAACTGCTTTCTTACACCTTACATCAAACAGCCATATGTTGTATGGGTACTTTTCTCAGTTCTGGTGCTCTGGGCTGAGGGGTCCAAGCTGGGATTTAGACCCCAGAGTTCTCAGTGGGAACTCCCCACAGCTGAGATGTCCCTCTGGAACTTCAGCTGCTGTCTGTGGGAGCCTGGCCAGCCCTTTCTTGCCTCCACACTTCCTACCCATCTTTTTGCAGTCTCCATTTTTCCTCCTTGGATACCAGGGTTCTCTCCATCTAGTCTTCAGTTGATTATTCAGGATGTTTTGTCTGTATTTTAGTTGTGATTCTAAAGTGTTGAGGAGGAAACTTGTCTTTCAAGGCGTGTCAGGCCATAAAAACTGTGAACAATGCACTGCCCTGGCGGGAGGGAGGGAGGTCGTTATCGCTGGCCTCAGGACAGATAATCAGATATGGCCTGGAGTCTCCCAACACCTGGAGGCCTTCCTGTAAGCCATGAAGGGAGGCAGAACCATATCTGCAAGACAAAGACCCCAGAAGGTTATAAAAAGTGAAGCCCTCTGCGTGTTTCTTCACTCTGATTTGGAAATTATTCCTGGCGTCCACTAGGGTTAGTAAACAGGGTCCCTCCTTTTCTCTAGGAAGTGTGCTTGGTATTTCTTTGGTCTTCTGCAACATTTGGTTCCCTGACCGGGAAGCTAATTCATTTGGCTCTTGCCTCCGGTGAGTGGATGGGACTTGGGGCCTGGGGGCGCGGGACAGGCCTCCAGAAGGTGCATGCTTCTGCTTTTTGCAGAATTGAATCGGGGGTTACTCCAGGTGCTCCCGGACCTCAGCCTAGGACCCGGCCAGTGTCTGGAGAAAGTGGACAGACACCTCTGGACCTGTCGACAGAATTGGTAAGATAGGGGCCCCAGTCAGTCAGGACCACTCCAAGTGAGTGGAAGTGGGACCTTGATCACTTCTCCAGAAGTCATAGGACTTCGTCAGGTAAATTAGGAATCAGGACTCTGGAAGTGAGTAAATTCAGCCTACCTGAAAGGAATTATGGAATTATGGGTTCACTCTTCTGTTTGTTTATGTGTGGGAGTAGCCAATTTGCTACCGAGAAGTGGGGCTGGATGCGGTCTTAACTCCTCTGGTAGGTTCTCACTGAGACGTCAGTTGAGAATTCTGTTCTGGGGTGTGGGTGCCGGGAGTAACCCCATGCACACCTGGGGAGTTGGGCATTATCTGCTCTGCTCCAGTCAGGGCTAGTCTACTGAGAGAGTGTGAGTACGGATGTTTGTCTTGGCATAATTATCTGCTGATTAACTGGTCTGTGTGAAAGCGACAGCTACTTTGATTTTCTGTTTGCTCATCTGGTTAAAATGTTTGATTTACTGAAAGCTGAACCTGTGATGGTCTGCAAAAGTCTCGAGCAGCGCTGTTGAGTTAAGTTTTCTGCGACATTTGCTCTCTATCACGGAGGGATAGTTGATAAAAATTTCTGTCTATGTTTGTGTACTAGGGGCTTTGGTTTAGCTCTGTGATTTTGCTGTGTTAGGTTGAAATTTTGGAATTCTGGGGTAGATTTAAAGGTATTTGCTGCTTTTCTTGTCTCTTTTGTCTGGCTGGGACTTTCAGGGGCGGGTCTCACAGCTCTTCCGGGCGGAGAGATTTTACCCACACTGCCCCTGCCTGTGCTGATTAAGGATATTTTCTTTAAGGAGACCCTCCAGGCTTTTAGTAAATTTCCCTGTACCCTTGTCTGTCTCTCACCACCCATCATCATGGGGTTGGGACAAAGTAAAACCACTATTCTCAACTGCATGTTGGAAAATTTTGAAAAGGGTTTTATTGAGGACTATGGTATTAAAACCAACCCCAAAACACTGAGGAAATTCTGTGAATTAGAATGGCCAGTCTTTGGGGTCGGCTGGCCCCCCGAAGGCTCTTTAGATGTAGGACTGGTCAGGGCAGTCTGGAATGTAGTCACGACAGACCCTGGACACCCAGATCAGTTCCCTTACATAGACAGCTGGTTAGGAATTGCTCAAACCTTGCTGCCTTGGGTCTGTTCTGTAAGGTTTTAGTAGTAGGAAAAAAGAAACAGATCTCTCAGAAGGGAACCAACCCCTTGTTCTGCCAGGATCCCCTGAGGAAGTCCCGCTAGTTTTACCATCTCCATATGTGCCCCAGGCAACACCAAGTGCTTCCTCAGCTGGTCTGAAAGGTCCAGAAACACTGCCCCCTTTTGTTTCTCCTTGACCAGGCTCTCCACAGTCAGTTGGGCGGCGCTTGCGTTC